GAGAGAATATAACTAGGGTTTACAATCACTCAATCTAAATCTTCACACAATTATCTCTCTCAAATTAAACCCTCAAATAGGCTCCTTGCTTTTCTTCTCAAAAAAGGTCAGCCTCCAAAACTTTTCTCTTCACGAAGCCCCTGCTGCAGCCGCTATTTTTCTTCTTTGCCGAAAAGAAACTCATAGCCGAAACAAAACTATCATTGCACGCAGTCTTTTGTGTTCTCACGCTCTGCCTACACGCACGCACGCGAAACCCTAGGAACTCTATTTATAGCAGCGGAAGAGGGTGTTAATAGGAGAGCATGTCGGGTGGGCCTGCAATGGGTCATCACGAGACGCGTGCCATCTTTGAGAATGTGTGAGCTGCTGAATTCGTGGCCCCCACAACCACAAGCATCCTTTCACACGGACGAAAAAACTCCTCACATGAACATGATCTCTTCACGTGGGTGGCCCCCACTCTTCCTACTCTCAATTCTTCACCTCGGCGAAGTTTTTTTCAAAACTGAGCCGACACCAAAGCAACCAAATGTCCAATTTGCTGTGTCCAGTACGCCGTGAAATAATTCACGACAACGAGCTCAATCCACAACAAGTCGAGAACCAAATGAGAATGAGACGACTCTCTGAACGTCAGTGTTTACTCACCAAATCGGCTGTATCATAAAATGACTGCCTACGTACCCTATTGCTAAAGGAATCAAGCCTCACGTAGTTCACTCAAATGGCCGCGAACGACCTCAATCCAATAGAAGAGTTCGCAACCCTTCTCCAATATCATCAACTCTGCGGCTAATAGCACCTCCAATGGCCTCAAAGTGTAACGAATCAAACACCTCCACCTGAGGTAAACCAATGGCCATATTCAAACTATGTCCGCCAGCTGTACTCGAATCAAACAACTCATCATCTGCATCCAAATTCAAATAATTCCCAAACTGTGTCACCTCAGCTAGAACCCCAAACGATGCAGTATGATCTGAAGTATGTGGAGTAATCTCCACCCAATATGGAGTAGCATCACTCTCCACTCGCTGTGATACATCTAAGGTCTGTATAAAACTCTTCACCTCCTGAGAGTCAAATAGCTCCCTCATCGAAGCCTCAACCGAAGTGACACTACCAGACCAAACACCCAATTAAGTTTTACCTCCTATCACAGCAGTTGACAACTCTTTAATAGGATGATCCAAATATGTCGAAGACTCAGTCCAAAAACTCTTTTGCAGACCATTGCTTAATAACAAACACCGATCCTCCTTCAGCAATGTACGATTCTCCAAATTTGTCATCCTATCTAGTTGCCCTAAGATTTCCTTTCCAACGAAGTGTTTTGAAATGTCGTGATCTCGGCTCTAATGCAGAAACAGGTCCATCTTGTACCTCCTATCAAAACCTGAATGAAATACCTTCACCTTTCTGTTCATCTTACACTTCTTCAATCTGTTAGAGACTACTAGGACTTTCTCTAATAGGGATTTGGTTGCAACCCAAACACGTCTAGAACAACCACCAACAAAGAAAACCAAACATCTATTACCTCCCAATGATGCCCCCTTGGAAGGCCCCTAAACATCCACGTAAACACCTCCAGAACGACCCTTCACACGGTGAATAGAGGTGCCAAACTTCACCTCGGTCTTCTTGCTCACATAAACATGTTCACTGGATTTCAAACTGCAGGTCTTTGCACCCTCTTTCAAACTATGTAAGGAATCAATACTGGAATGACCAAGGCCCAAATGCTGCAGTCTAGTCGAATCAACAGAAGTCGTCAGCTCTCCACCTGCCACTATACCTCCAGTCAAGTAATATATGTTATTCCTCCTGACGCCCTTCATCACAATCTGAGAGTCTTCCATAATCTTGAGAACCATGTTCTCAATTCGAATATTCAGACCTTCTCCAACCAAAACTCCAATCGAGATCAAGTTCTTCCTTAAGGAAGGAACATATCTCACATCATATAACTTCCTAATAGTCCCGTCAAACATCTTGATGCGAATTCTTTCTATCCCAAGGATCTGACATGCATGGTTATCAGCCATGTATACCACACCACTATCCAGCTTCTCAAAACTAGAGAACCATTCCCTTCTAGGGCACACATGATAGGTCGTACCACTATCCAACATCCATTCAGATTCCTCCGAATAGCTATCTGTAGGACTGATAGAAAGCGAATAAATAAAAGAATCAGAAATATTACCATCCGATATAATGATGTTTGCTTCTGATAATGGTTGCTTCCCTTTTCCCTTCTGCTTATTCTTCATCCATTCGTCGAGATTTGGGCAGTCTTTCTTCCAATGACCAGTCTCCTTGCGCTAATCACACCGATCTTTTCCAATTGTAGGATGTCCTACTCTAGACTGTGACTTTCAATTCTTCCAGTTTGGACCATTCCCTCTTGCGACAACGCCTCTGCTACCGGCTCAATTGAAGCCTCCTTATCATTCTTTTGAAGCTGATAACTCATAAGTGCAGCAGTCACCTCACTATACGAAAGAGATGCATTCTCATTAATCAGAGTAAGAACGAATGTCTCATATTCCTCGTCGGGTAAGAAACTCAACAATAGCAACGTCTTGTCCTCATCTTCAATCTTGACATCCACATTCGTCAAATCCGTAAGAAGCTTTGTGTAGGTGTTCATGTGATCACTAATTGAGGTTCCCTTATTCAATTGGAAACGATAAAGTCTCCTCTTCAAATGCAAGCGGTTCTCAACACTCTTTGTCAGATACTTGCTTTCAAGAATCTCCCAAATCTTCTTCGCAAAAGTCTCATTCATCACATCATATTTTAGATCTTGAGTCAAACAAGATCTAATCACTCCACACGCCGTTTGATTCATCTTCTTCCAAACCTTCTCTTTAATATCATCTGGCTTGCTATCTAACTCTAAGGTATCCTCCAAATTTTATGCGTTCAGTACATCCAAAACCTCGCATCTCCATAATCCAAAGTTGTTTGTGTCATTCTCCACATCTATCTTCATAGAGTGGATATTCAAACTCTGAATGGTCTTCACGTCAGAAGCACCACCCTCGACACCCGAAGCACCTTCTTTCCCCGACATCTTTCTCAACGCACCAACGAACGGAGAATAGATCCAAGACTGAAAAGATAGAGTCTTTACCAAAAGATCCCATCTTTATCACCAAACAAAGCCCTAGACGAGCTTTCAAATCGATCTACTCCTCCAAATAGCCCAAGCATAGCCCGAGCTCTGATACCACTTGTTGTGCAAAGCGGAAATTTCGCCAGAGTTTCTAGTGCACAATAAGAGAGAAAGATCAATAAGAATTCATGTCTCACCAAGGAAATAAGAATCTGAAGCGAATATCTCAATAAAGTGGGATATCAGCTCTTCCTTTCATCAGTTCTAGGACTTACTTGTCGAGGGAACTTAATAAACTATTATAATAACCACAAACAGCAAATCACACAAGTTTTACGTGGTTCAATAATTTGCCTACGTCCACGGGGCAAGTAGGGGAGATCTACGGTTTATAATCACTCAATCTAAACCCTCACACAATTATCTCTCTCAAATTAAACCCTCAAATAAGCTCATTGCTTTTCTTCTCAAAAAAGGCCAGCCTCCAAAACCTTTCTCTTCACGAAGCCCCTGCTGCAACCGTTATTTTTCTTCTCTGCCGAAAAGAAACTCATAGCCGAAACAAAACTCTCATTGCACGCAGTCTTTTGTGTTCTCATGCTCTGCCTACACTCACGCACGCGAAACCCTAAGGAACTCTATTTATAGCAGCGGAAGAGGGTGTTAATAGGAGAGCATGTCGGGTGGGCCTGCAATGGGTCATCACGAGACGCGTGCCATCTTTGAGAATGCGTGAGCTGCTGAATTCGTGGCCCCCACAACCACAAGCATCCTTTCACGCGGACGAGAAAACTCCTCACGTGAACGTGATCTCTTCACGTGGGTGGCCCCCACTCTTCCTACTCTCAAGAAGTACATGATAATTTGAGATAACTTACTTTCAATTCTATCGTGTTCATTGCTAGGAGTAGAAAGTTTCCATCCGCCAAAGGAAAGAAAAGAAAATTACATGTAGAAAGCTTATCGTTGCCACAGAAATAAAAAAGAGAACCAAATAAAACATATTGATACGGGCCTATTGAATGAAAATGACATTGTGTATACATATAATAGAGGGAGGGGTTATGTAATGGGACATGGATAGGTTTATGATCCATGAAATTGTTGATAGAATTAATAAATGTCAAAAAAGCTACTAAATTAAGAGGTATTCAAATGAGTGAGGTTAAAGAATTTGAAGGGCTTTCAACGAAGGCCTTAGAGATGAAAGTTGAGTTGCTAATTACTTATTAATTATATTTTACACGTAAATAGATTGAAAAAGGAAGAATAGAGGGGAAAAAACCCTAAAATAATGCCAAAATAACCACAAGTTGCCAAGTGAAAGCCCAAGACCTTACTTTAGTATATGGATACTCTAATTATTCACTGATATAAATAAATTATATTTGATATTATTTATTTATTTCATTGTAAGTATAATTGCGTGAGCTGGTGGCAACGAGAGTTAAGTAATATTCCTTTTCCTCTGGCAATAAATATACAGAAAGATACGCATATTGCTTAGGATCTTTTAGGTCCCACATCATATTCAAATGGCGCAATCAAAAGCAATTTTCTATAATTGAAGTCTCTGAGTTGTCAGATTTACCTTGTTAATCAAAACAAAACTCTTAAGCCAAGCAAATTAAAAGACGTGGGCCCCAGCAAAAAGTGTAAGCGTAGAAATGGGTGCATCGAAAAATGAGTGCCTCAAACGAATAAAAAAAAAACAGCATAATGTCAGATCAGCAACCTGGCGGAGTCCGTACTAAAATACTTAAGGGAAAAATGAACGGTCCAGATTACATCTGATGATGCTTTTCACTGTAACGGCCAGCGTAGGACAAACACGAGGGGAAAGAAACAGGTTAACTGCTCCACTGTTCTTGTGGTTCATTACGACCGCCAACCCCCCGCCCTCCCCCGAATTCTTGATTCTCTTGACATTTTTTCCCCCAAATTAAAAGGGGTCTCCCTTCAAATTTCTTCATTTATTACTAATTATTATCTTCCTGTTCAAGCTCCAGCTGGAAAATTCCTATACTCGGAATCGAATCTGAAAATTTCAGCATTAGGAGGGATCAGAGCTGAATTCATATACAAAGCTAGGGTTTTGGTTTGAAGAATAGAAGAGAATGCCGTCGCCGTTCAAATCAAGAGGGGATGAAGAGAAGAATCAGCAGCAGCGGCGGAGAGATCCGTACGAGGCTTTGGGCGTAGCTCGAAACTCTACAGATCAGGAGATCAAGAGCGCTTATCGAAGGATGGCTCTCAAGTAAGCCTCTAATTCTTTCTAAATTTCGTTTTTTGGGCGTCTTTTAAAGATTACAGGACATTAAGTCATCCATAATCTTGTTAAAAAAAAGATTTTCTTTTAAACTCCTTGTGGTGTTTATTGCTTGGTTGAAATTGAATTGGAGTGCTGTTGTTGTTGATTTGTTACATAACATAGGCGTGAGTGATACGGCTAATTGCGCCGGCTGTATAATCCTGCAAACACTGGGTAGTCAAACAAGTAGCATAAATCTCGGCTACGTTGTGAAGTTTGGAGTTTCTAACTAACGTTGTTGAGTTTGGAGCTTCTAACTAAATGCGGGTCTTTTAACTCTCTGCGTGGTTAAAAAAAAGTATCTGTTGTGGCAACGTGTTATCAAATTCTATGTTATGTTAATGAATTATGTTGAATAATGTGACATGATGGCAATCGATTTGTAGAACTTACATATATTTTTCAATGTTTGAAAAGGTCCAACAAATTGGAACAATATGAGGATGTTTCTAAATGTGTAAAAATTTAGTCCATTTTGTTAATGATTGGAACCGTATGGACTAACCACAGCCCGTAAACAACACTAATTTTTCAACTCAATAATTAAATTGCAAAAAGAAAAATTGTTCTCATCACTTACCTATTTGCTTATGGCGGCACTGGTTAAATGGCGAGTTGCAATTTGTGCGATTTCTCATTACTTGGAAGTTCAGGGATTAAAGGAAGATAAAGTGAGCAAGTAGAATTAGATAAATGGTAAAATATATTAAATAAAGAAGTTTAAAATGAAAACTATGTACACACCTTGCAGCATCACTAAACTACATTCATAAGCAGAAAATAGAAAGAGGAATCGCGGTGTTAGATTAAGTAGGAGAGAGGTCATTACAATTTTAGTATCCGGTCTTTGATACTTATGTATCTGGTCTGTTGGATCTACTTAGGTAAAGCAGACATTGTTAATAAATAAAACAATTATTGTGTAACATGCATACAAGATTGCAAGAGATTGTTTTCTGCATAATGGAATGTAATGGGAGAGGAAAATTTTCCAAGTCCTTGGTGATAGTCGTAAATTAGCAAAATACAACAATTTGGGGGATAATTTGCTAAATAGGTGATGCATTGGGGCTATATATCTAAGAAATCCTAAATAAACTTTGGTACTTAATCATGCACTAGTAGAAAGCTGGGCATTCTCGATGGCCATTCTCGTCAAGGACGCTCAAAATCCCATCAATATTGTGTATCCTTGACGAACTCCCATCAAGGATATCCCGTCAGTAAATGTTCCGTCAAGGATGCACATTCCTGATGGGGGCATCCTTGACGGCTGACAGCTGTCGTCAAGGATGTTCTAGCACCCTTGATGGGTAGCCCGTCAAGGATGTTTCAAACATCCGTCAAGGATGTTTCAAACATCCTTGGCGACAAACGTTGTCAAAGATGTACGATATTGAGGGCCAACCTGTCAAAGATGTTAGATTTTAATTGAAATTTTTTTAAAAAAATTCAGATTTCCAATTTTATATAATAATTTTCTCATAATACAAATGATGTAATTTTATCCTATTTACAAAATACTTCACTAGATGATGTTCACAATCATACCACAACCCATAAATCCATCAGAAAATACAATAATCTCATTAATATTGACAATCAAATCATAATGTACATCTATCAACATCCACAATATCTTGTACATATGCAATCCAAAATAACACAATTCATAAGATCTCTCATACATCCCATATACACAATACAAGAAACCTACAATCTAAAATCCACAATCCTCACAAACATGATATCCTTGTTGTCTAATGATCTTTTCATATAGTGTATATAAACTCTACTGACAAAAAATAAACTTTATTACGCCTTTCTCTCTTGTTAGGATTCAAGGTAGTTGAGTTGAGAAACTCGAAGTTATTACCAGGAACTAACTACTCCTATAGCCGCTCCATATAAAAACTTACAATCATTGTTAACTTGCTCGATGTGAATATCAAATATCATTCAAATTAAAGGATGTTAGATATGAAGAAATATCTTTGTAAAGTTGTAATTTGAATGTACCTAGCTACAGTTGAAATGAAAAAGCATATGACAGAAAATGGACATTGCTAGCATTATATCTCGAGAATGTACCATACTTTGCTTCAAGTTGTTCAAAGGCCCTTAGACAAGGCAATTAATCATGTTCTTGATCATAAGCAATAGGAGAAAAGAACATATATATACAAGATTGACAATTTGATACCAAAATAGAGAATAAAAGAGGATCTAAATGCAAACTAAGTCATGCCAATTCTTTAGTAATCTAATGAATGCAAGAATGTCGTCATTGATGAATCAATAGCAATGAAGAACCCATGGTGATTATGCTTACATCTCCTAAGTTAAGGGTTCAAATTTCAGATTTCAGTCTCTTCAACGATAACCAATAATTTTGTTTATCATGAACACCATGAGAAGCCTACAACCAGTTAGAACAGTTAAAACCCAATTCATAGAAGCAATACTTTAAATTGAAACAAGTAAAGCAACCGAAAGTATCAAAGAAGGAAAGCAATGACAATGAGATGGAGTAGCCTCTATCGCTTACAGGTGATCAATGCACACATTGACTTGTTTTCTAAAATAAGTCAACCTTGGTGTGTGTTTGGGGTCATATCTACAACACTAGATGTTTGGAATTTATAATCCACAGCTAGAATCCTACAGTTGATGAATAATACATTCCTGCATTTTGTTAGGGCAGTCAGTAGGAAGCCTCGATACAGGGTCTCTTCGTAAACCATAACTAAAACTCCTAGCCTACGGAGAAGACAAGCAACACTGACAAACAAACTATGAGTATGAAAAGATTATTCTAGTATGACTAAAGCTTCTAATGAAGTTTAAATAAAAACTAAATATTATGAAACTTAAGAGATTTTAGTTGAAGAATTACCTGACATTGGATAAGCCAATTAGAAACTCTAACGAAAAATTTGACACTAATATTGAGAACGACACATCCAGAAGTTTATGCAACTTTCTGGAAGTTGATGTGCCATTTTCAGATCTGCGCTCAAGTGGTGGGGTTACGCGGAGGAGGTATTATACATACTGCCTGGGTAGACTATCTCTTTCAGAACTTGGGTCAAAAGGACGTAACAGTGACCCGTCTTGCTACAAGCTCTTCCAAGAGCATCAAAACTCGCATTAAGGCTCCTAATGCTGGCTATAAGAACGAACATCCAGAGGATGGATTTGAAGCTGATACTGAATTCGAGAGTTTTCACTACCAAGCTGCGACTCCCATCTCTGACACCGTTCTTCTTGCCGGCTTCCTGATGATTTGGCTGAAGCGGTGTGTCGTGCCGTCGAAGCCAGTTGAGTCTGTCTTAGTTGAAGTAGTATACCCAGCTGGTCTTCTGACCCACGAGAGACCTATAAGTCTTCTTTTAGTAATGGTAGGCTATTTGCAAAGGGGCTTGTGAGATTTAACTTCTGAGTTCCTCGACGTCAAGGAGATGAACGCTGCTGGGAGGAAAATTTAGAAGACTCCTCAACCCCGCGTATCAGTGCCCTACACGTATTTAGCGACCTAGTTCGTGTTACATTATCCCTCGCTAATGATGAGGATCATGCAAGATAGTGAGATCTCTGTTCCCTTTGTGCAGAGGCTTGAGTCGGTCGCATGGACGAATGTGTACATAGTCCGGGTCAGACAGCTCTTGTCCCTAGAGGACAATTATGAGATTTTTTGTTGCTGCCCTTATTTTGATGGGGCTGAAAAGGAAGGCACCAATTTTGCAGACGTGGTCTTCGAAGGCTCCTCATCGTTAAATATATGAATTTTTCAATGGCTCCTCACGGTCAGAGTGGGATATCTGGTTTTTCGATTGTGAGAAATGCATTATCGAACCCTATGTTCCTTCTCGTTTCGCTCGACAATTTGGGTATGACCAACTATATGTTGGTAACCCTAACCCGCAGTTAGCTCACGTACTTAGCTCACGTCGAAAATTTGTATGAGGCGGCTTGCGCTTGGTATTTCTTCTCTGCTAGAGGGACCCATGCACAATTCACCTTGCCCAACTTGCCATCCAGCTGCTCTGTTGTTTTCGAATTTCGCGATTGATTTTATGAAGCTTCTTAGATTCTGGAGTATAACATGTACACTTCCTGTATAAACGAAATCCGAGAGCTTTATGAGTCTAGAAAGGGTTTTACAAGGACTCGCCTGCCGGGGGTAGACGAATATTTATCCTGCGAATGGGAGGCAACCGGAACCGGAGGGGTTCAAACAGGGCTACCAACTGCCGAGCCTCTTGAAGAGAAGGCGACTGAAGAAATCCTTGAGGAAGCACTCACTCTTGAACCTCGCTCATTAAGATTGTCAGGGAAGAAGGTGCTTACTGCTGAGGAGGATGATGAATATGATAGGAGGGTTCGCAAAGGAAGGCCCATTGTAGCCAAAAACTCCAAGAGGGCCAAGTTGATGAAGGACGCAATGAAATCTGCACGTGTCACACTCCCGACTGATAAAGAAGATGAAGCGCTTCAATTGACTCATTTTGTTCCTGAGGACGTGGAAATTGAAGAGAAGTTGAGTGTCAGGAGTCAGAGCATGCCCCCTCAATGAGACCTATTGATGGGGTGACCATAAGACAAGATCGGCTAGAAAAATTTGCTTTTGAAGCTGTTTCTGGGTTTGCTTCCATTGAATTTGTGGGCGTAATCTACCCGACCGTCCCTCCTCCAACTTCAGAAATCCTAAGGAAACTCATCAAACAGCTGGAAAGTGCTATGAAATTAACAATCGATGTTGTTAGTCTTGGACAGGTTGCATTTGAGGATTTCGAACCTCTCCTGCACAACTGTCTAGACAGCATTAAGAGCTTGGGCGACTTTCAGTGGATTGAATGTTGCAGAGAGAGCATCATCCTCATGGAAGCGGAATTAAGGACCTTTTTGGATTGACAACGCACCGACTTGGAATCTGAAGCGGAGCA